ATACATATTTTGATCAATCAATCAAGTCAATATCATATTTTAACATGAATGTGTAGATGCAGTCAATCACCCATTCTCCATGAAAAATTCATCTCACAACCCAAAAATCGAAAAACTAAACCAAATCGAAAGGGTTTCCTTGGTAAATCGTTAAACAAAGACGGTTTCCGAAAGACTAATTCAGGTTCACATGTGGCATTTGGTATGGCGAGTCAATAAAAGTCAGAGATAAGGCCTTCTTTGTTCAAGACCTCGACTCTTTTCAAACGCAGCCAAATAGGATTTTTTTTGTTAGAATGTTTAAAATCGATCCAAAAGAAATATTCTTAGCTCTAAAATTAGAAGGCTTTTTTTCAATAAACCATCTCAGGGAATTTGATCATAAGTTTGTGCATCCATCCTTTTCTCGTGCTAATTTTACACATCAATCCAAAGCATTCCAGATAATAAAACAATATTAATGGCATCGATGACATGTGCTATATATGTTCTAGCTTTTAACGTTCACAATACAGCACCCTTGAAGTTTATGCTTCGACTCGTAAATTGTTAGATTACGGTCTAATTTTCGCCGCCGAAAGGACAAAACCTCTAATACATGACCGCTTCGCCTTCAAAAACATTTTTAGTGCTTTTTGCTAAAGTTAACTTTTCTTGCCATATGAAGAATAACAATATACACCAACATGAAAAAGATACGTCTACGAACAGTTAATAATATTGCATCATGAATGGGTAGATGCGATGATTCGCCCCTACGCTTTTTGTTCATAAAAAATTCATCAACAAAAATAGCACTAAACCAAATCGAAGGGGTTTCCTTCGTAAATCGTTGCACAAAGACGGTTTCAGAAAGACAGATTCAAGATCAAATGTGGCAATTTGATCTTGCGTGTGAATAAAAGCGAGAGATAAGGCCTTCCTTGTTCAAGACCTCGACTTTTTTCAAACGCAGCCCAATAATATTCTTTTGTTGACTTGACCAATCCTATCTTGCAATATAACTTGACAAATTCAATTTTGGCTCTTTGTTCATTTTGATTATTTAACAACGGCTCTTCGATATGTCTTCATCAATAAGGGCTTCGACTTAAAAACGTAACTCAAGGACTTCAAAGTAAATAAACTCTGCCAAATGATAAGTGTAACTAGATTTATTGTTTCGCAGAGCTCAGTTCAGGATTTTTTGAATCTTCAAGGATTAGCTGTTTATTCAAGGCACAACGGTTAGCGGTATGGAAAAATTGCTTCTGAGAAGATAAAATACAAATACCCAGATGATATGATCAGCCAGATAAGGGCATCTACAGGGTGGCTAATAAGCAATGTCGCATGCCTGAACGCGTGTCACTTCTCGAGGTTACTTCCAAATCTCATGAGCAACCTGCTAAAATGTTGCTAAGAGTCTAGGGACTCTAAATATATGCATGAATTTTTGAGACAATGACTGTGGAAGCTTTTACTCCGATTCTTGTGCTTTTCAAAAAAAGGCACTCTGCCCAAGGTCAATTCTAAGCTTCTCATACCATTGGAAGTTTTATTCCGTTAAAATCCGATTGTCGTGCGCATAACTTTTTAAGCTTGGGTCCGTTGAGGTCATCTGACTTAAAGCATTTCACAAAGCCCATGCTCCGGCAAAGTTGATTGAAGGTTTTTGATTGGCCGGGATTTTGTTTTGCTTCATACTCCATAGCTTTGTAAATCGCATTTCTCATTCCAAGTTTTAAGTGTAAAACTGGAGGTACACACCTTTTAGGCTCTACTTCCCAAACGAATGGCCGGAAAATTCCAACACTTTCACCGTGAAGCACCGGATAAGTTTTTGATATGCCCTTGAATTCTGCTAGTGTTCTTTTTGGATAAGTGCGTCTGTCGATAACTTCGGTTTCACCTTCAATTTGTCTAGTTTTGTTTGCTCGATATTTGCACCAAATACATGGAAATTTAGAAGCATTTGAGAGACCAAACGACGAAGCAAGAAAAGAAAGATCGCCGCCGAGAAAAAAGGTGCACTTTAGAGAAGATAGCAATTGAAAAATATCCTTCACTTTTTGCAAGCTTTCGTTGTTATCACCACCTTCCCAAACGGCCAAAATCAGTTGATTGAAACAAGATTGGGGCTTGTTTGCTCTATCTGGTAACATAAGAGTTATCTTTGTTGTTTCAAAGCCTTTATCTCCCAGAATTATGACTCTCTTCTTTTCATGTTCGGGTACTTGATCAAGTCTATAACGCACAGGTTCGAGCAAATTCTTTAGTTTGACAATTTCGTTATCGATGAAGTATTCCATATGCGTCCCAAGAGTGTTCTTAATTTTTTGCATCTGATATTCGGTGGACAGAGTCTTCGTTGAGCTGATGTAAATTCTGTGGGCATCACGGGAGATTTTTAATTTCGATAAAAGTGCAAGTGATTGGAGTGGAGACAATATGTGGTCTCGTTTGTTTGTCGAATCAAAAAATTTGCGATACTGCTTTCGAATCATCCTTGCCTTACGACAAACAATCGTTACCTTTTGCTTTCTCTGGCGATATTTTGCAATCCTTTTACGCGACAACTTTTTCATCTTCTTGCTTAACATTTTTCTCTGGCTCACTTTGGCATTATTTGGCAAATCCGTTCTCTTCTTCCATCGCAAAACAGCAGCTTTTTGTGTTTTTTTCTTTGCCACCATACCTAAAAGAAGCATTTGATCAGAAGTAATATATACAGTTTGACAAAAACAAACAAAGTTTGACAAAAACAAACATAGTTTGACTTCTTATTTCAAAAACGAGCATATCATAAGACGAGACATTGAGGGCATCTAGGGGTACGGTAATTGAAGCATGTTGGAGAAAACAGGGCCCTATTTCAGAGTGGGACGAGAAAAAAGCTATAACTTTACGCAGAATGATTATTTTTAATTACTTTTTGAACTAAAATGCTTAGGAAGGATCGTGAAATAAAAATTATTAGACAGAATTTTTTTGCTAATGAACTTTTTTTGAGAATCAGACCTTCAAACTTTACCCCTGTTTTTAAAAAATAGGTGAACTTTCTACTTCAGAAACTCTGGGTTTATATAATAATTTGTTCGAATTTCAAATCTAAAAAGATTTTTTAAATGTCTTCTTTTAAATAAAAACAAAACGAAGTCTGATTGCCCAATAGAAATTTTTTTCTATGAACTTGAAAATAACAACTTTTGACTTTTTGAACTTTTCAAAAAAAACTGATTTTTAAAAAATTTGTTGAACGGATTTGAAAATCGTTATCATTTTTGGAATCAGCACAAAATTCTGCGTTGAATGGTATATATTAGAAGAAATTTCATCAGAAAACGCATTTTAACATTGTTTCGCGCGGATGTGCGTTGTCATTTTGAGATGAGAAAACCGATTTGGACGCCTTTTGACCGAAGTTTAGCCCACTCAAACAAATTTTTGTCAAGAATTTCTGTTTGAAAGTTGTAGAAAAGTATTTAAGGATCATTATGGTACCACATGTGGGCTGATCCGAACATTTTTGACCGAGTTACAAGCGCGTGAAGCCAGAATACTCAGAAAGTAACCCTTTTAACCCAGTAAAAGGCTAAATTTTTGTCTCCTGAAATTCAAAATGCTGTAACTCGGTCAAAAATGTTCGGATCAGTCCACATGTGGTATCATAATGATCCTTAAATACTTTTCAACCGCTTTCAATCAGAAATTCTTGACGAAAATTTGTTTGAGTGGGCTAAACTTCGGTCAAAAGGCGTCCAAATCGGTTTTCTCATCCCAAAAGTGAGACTTCGACAACGTCTCTGTCGCGATGGATTATTGTTCCAAACGCTTTTTATGAATAAAAAAGAATTACACAAGATAATAGTAGATTACACTCAGAATTTTGTAAAGAATCTGGAATCGGAAGAGTTCAGATTGATGCGCTCGTCGAAGCAATGCCAAAGCGAATGAATATGCCTATCAAAAATGGCGGAAAATCTATTAAGTACTAATGTTATCTTTTGTTGCAGGTTTTTTTGTTGGAGTTTATTAGTTAAAATTATAAAATAAAGCTGTTAAATCAAGGTGGATCTATCATTTTGTTACGCGGGAGAAATGGCGAAAATCATATAAACATTTTTATAAGCGCAATATCTTGATTTTGATGCAAATTGACTTAAAACTAAATTTTGAACTTGTTTTAGGTTAGAAGTTGCATTTTTATTCAAAATTCCTAATTTTTGGGGCAAAAAACATGGTGGACCTATCATTTTGCTACGCACTGTAGTGACCCCCTCCCCCCTCTAATCAGCCCCGCCCCCAAATTTGCATCTGCTTTTGACTGAATATTCTGTACCTCTCCTTGAAATAGCAAAATATTGAATTAACAAAAACAAAAGTATTGAATGAACTAGTAGGAATCAGTTTATTTTTATCATATCCCCTCTCCCTTCTCCTAAAACCCAGAATCAATCGATCAGGGAACAAAGTGCAGAGAAGAAAGAGATAAGACATCCCTTTCTAGCAAAAGTTTTCTCTCACCTTCTAGCTGCTTTTCGAGTTTTGGTTTCATTTCCTTTTTACTTAACTTTCATTCATTAGTTGTTTAGGTTAAAGCCTTATCTGTGGGAGCCTGCCGTTGGTTGAGTGTCTTGACGTTAGTTGAATGATTAGACAATGGACACCCGAAACAGAACCAACAGCGATCGGAGGAGGTACATATGGAGAGGTGTTTCGGGTTATTGACAGGCAAAGGTTAGTGTTTTAAGTGTTTTTAAGTGTTTGTTGGAGTTTAACTCAATTTACAACAAGACAAGCGAGTATGTATTTTGCAAAAAAAACGTTTTTCTTCTTTAAGCCGCTACAATCGACCAGCCGTAGTAAAGCGTCTGTTTTCAACAACAAATGTCTATGCTCAAAATGATGAATATGAGGCAATGAAGAGATTGTCAGGAAACAAAAGGCACAAACATATTGTGGAGCTTTTCGAGCTGACAATCACCAATGAGGCTTCGCGAAAGCAATTGGGATTTGTTATGGAATTTTGTGATGGAGGGACGCTAAGTGAATGTATTATCCCAGATAGATTTTGAAGAATTGAGATTTTCAGTGATCACAGACTCAACAGTTGTTTACTCGATGAAAACGGTCGTATTTTGGGCTATCCAACTGTTCAAGGCTATTCGCTATTTGTTCTATCATCGAATATTGCATGGTGATATCAAACCTAATAAGTAAGAAGCTATCACTTTTTTCGATATGTTAAAATTTCAGCATTTTTGTGAAGAAGATTCAAAGAAGATCTGAGTCAATTCCATATACGATGAAGCTGGGCGATTTCGGGCAAAGCCGGCGTAGGGAAGGCGCCCCTTCAACTATCTCTAATCTTACCGCGTATGGTCCTCCGCTCTTAAACGATGAAGATGATCAGGTCAACAACGGATACTAAATAGCAAGCCCTCATGTAAATGATCACTTTTGTGTTTGTAGATGATCTCGCACCCCCAATGCCCTAATATAAGGGAAAGAGCTAGTCTAGGGTTATCCGTTGCATAATTAGCATAACATTTATGGTGCAGTAATTTTGTAAGGTATCCTAATGGGAGTCGAATCGAAATTTTTTCCAGAAAACAAAATTTCTTCATGATATTCACGGTGTCAAATGTGTTTATTTGGGGTGACAATTTTTCTGACACCGTAAGTGAAACATTAGGAGTACGCTACAATGCTATTTACATTACCACCTACCATGGTCGCCGTAAGTACTCCAGAACGCCCGATTCTCGATGTTTCAATTACGGTGTCGGTGAAAAATTGCCACCCCAAATAAACACCTTTGACACCATGAATATCACGACAAATTTTGTTCTGTGGAAAAAGTTTCAATTTGAAAGTATTCTTCTCTACCCAACGCCCTGTATGCGCAGATAAATCGATCTACCTACCTACCAATAAATTACTAGCTTTTTAGGGCTCACACAAACACGATGTTTATGGCATAGGACTGATTGTATGGGAACTGATCGAAAGAAGGTTGGTTTACCTTAACAGCTATAACTTTTTGCTTTAGACACATCTTCTCGGAATTTATCTTTAAGAATCAACAAGATAATAGTGATTTCTGGGATCGGGATACCTTTATGCAATGGGTCACCGATCGCAAGTTTATCCTTGAGCCTCCAAGTTGCCATAAACACTTCAAAGAGATTCAGCAATTGATTAACCGGTGGGGCAAATCGAGCTGACTAATTTTTTCCATGAATTCAGATGTGCTAGTTTCACGTTATCAAGACGACCAACGGCGGTAGACTGTGTAACTATTTTGCGTGGGGTCCTTAGTGGAAATTCGGAAGAGGGAAAGCTCTTACGATCACTTGAACTTTTTCCAAAAAAAGAAAAAACATTGAAAGAACCAATAAAACCAATGGGATTCAATGAAAGTAAAAGAGACATCAATTCCCTGATTGTGAATCCACTATCTCTAAAGAAGGCCCGACGACCAACTGTATATAAAAAAAAGTTTTTAAATATCATGAACTCAATCACTAGTCGCCAGTTTCTTGGCACTCATTTGGGAACTCTTGAGAATATTGAACAGAAGTTTACTTGTTTGCTCGATGATACGAATCCGAAGTTGTATGAAAATTTTTGGAAAGAAGTAGCGATTCGAAAGCATAACTACTATAAGTATCATGACATGATAAGAATTAGAAGCAGTTGGAACCAAAATCAAAAATGGAATTCCCTTGAAACAGGAATCCCAGGAAATGAAACAGAAATCAATATGATTCTAACTCATTTATGTGGACTATTAATTTTGAACGATATTTGTGTGCTGATCGAAGAATTCTTTTACTCTTCTTTCACTTTTCTTGAATGTCCCGTTTTTGATCGGCCTGAACTAGAAGTCCATATTCCACAACTAAAAGCATTCAAGGAAGGGCGAATAACGACAGAAATATACTTTCGTTGTTATTCGCACACAAGTACACTCGAAAAATGGTTATCAATTGACGAAGATAAACAACGTTTTGTCAAGGAGGATCTGAGCGAAATTCGGATTTTTCAAGGAAAATGGAAAGACAATGGCGGAACTCGGCATTTCGAGTGCGATGCTCCAGATGAATGGCTGCAGTATCAAAATTTAGAACCCATTGATATCGATAAACTAATCAAAAAGTTCACCGAAATTTTTATTTATGAAAATTTTATGAAAATTTTTGAACTCTAGTATTTGATAGATATGATAACCAAAATGAATCTAGACCGGATCTGCCTGACCTAACGCTCCCTGGATTTTGAAACAAAGTATTACTCTCTGATTCACCATGGCTAGTATTTAGTGTGGCTACGCAGAAAGAGTGTGTATTTATTTTAGCATTTATTTTAGAGACTTTTCTGATTTAAAATGTGGTTAATCTATTCCTTCACAAGCCACTTTTTGTTTGAATAAAGCTTTTGATAAAATATTCCTCCCCTCAAAGGTACAATCCTTATTTTTCTTGTGCAATTGGAGTAACTTGTATTTTTGTTGAATGGTAGGAATCGTGGCATCTTTTAGAAAATCTTTTAGTGACCAATTTTTTTGAAATGGATCATAGTCGATGCGAGCAAAGGTATATTGGATCGGGATCTTTTGGCGAAGTTTACGAGCTGATTGGACACAAACCGTTGGTTATTTTTGATCTATTCACTGCTATGTTTTCAGTAAAACCCTTCTATTCTTTGACTACATATTCTGTTTAGGCCAGCTGTAATAAAGTATTACCATTATAAGGATTCTGCTGAACTAACTCGGTTTCGAAGAGAGTGCAAGCCCTTCCAACGTGATTGCAAGCCCAATCATGGAAATCTAGTTCAAATACTGGAATTTGAAGAATTGGACAAAGAGCAGCGAATTAGAGTTATCATGGAATTTTGTCAAAGAGGGCCTCTGAAGAAGAGTGAGTTTATTATCTGCAAAGGGTTGTTTCACAAAAGAATTCCACCCTTTTGGCATAGCCTTTTTGGGTGTTTGATATAATGACCTTTATTTTGTTCAAAATTTCAGCTATTTTCAATCCGAATGTTATTTATTCCATGAAAACGGTTGTTTATTGGACTAAGCAGCTGTTTGATGCACTTACCTATATGTATGAGGAGCATCAAATAGTTCATCGAAACATTAATTCAGACAAGTGAGTCCATTTACAAGGGAATGTTCAGAACCGATCGTGCCATTTCGACGCAAAACTTTGGCACAAAGGTAAATCGATTACGAGGATTCCAAATCTGTAATCCGTTTTTCCCGACGGGCCTTGGTGTTCGAGATCTAAGCGTGCAAAATTTTGACAAATTTCGCCAAAACCACCTTGCCTATAAAAGGGCACCACGACGAAGGGAAGGAAGGGCAGCGGCGGTCTAGTGGATAGTGAGCTAGTCTACAAAACCTATGAGTCTACAACACGGATTACAGATTCGGAATCCTCGCAATCGATTTACGTTTGTGCCAAAGTTTCGCGTCGAAATCTCACGGTCGGTTCTGAACGTTCCCTTGTTAGTATATCCTTCATTAAGAGACAAATACTCTTTGTCGGTCTGTCTGACTAGCTGTTCTCTCGGCCTCTATTCGGTCTTTCGGAATGGTTTTTTCTTGTAATTGATGGATAATTTACTCTATATGCTCTGCGCCTGGACGAGTGGTCTGACAGGCGCTGCAGTTGTAAGGCGCTGAAGACCGATCTGGGCTCAACAGGCAGAGTTGTTGGTTCGAGTCTCCTCGCGTCATAACTCTTTGCCTTGATTAAAAATCGCATAGAATTGCATATCCTCTTTGATCTTGTTTGGCTGTTTGCCACATACAATCCGGATCCGGGATTCAAAGATTCTGGATATGAATCCGGATCGGATTGGCTCCCTAAAAAATTTTCGGATACGGATCCGGATCAGCCCTGATCCGCTGCTATTGAGTAATGACAAGAATTTTAAGGATTCTGGTTGCTGACGACTTTTCATTGAAGATTGGGCCCAAGCTTTCTAATCCAGGCCCCTGTGGTGTCAACTCCCAATATTCGAGCCCTCCCGTAGCTCTCGGTGATCGAACTATTGGAGAACAAGTGAAAGTTAATAGCACAGTAAGTCAAACAGATTTTTATGGGTATTCTTTAAATATAGCCATCTCATCTCAATGACGTTTATTCTTTGGGACTAGTTTTATGGGAAATCATTGAAAGAAGGTAGCCTCTATAAATAATTCAAGAAAAGTGAATTTTAGGATTGTTTTCGAGGAATACGTGCGAAATGGCAGTTTTCGGCGGGACCGATTTGTGGCTGACGTTACACGTAACAAACTTACCAAACTTGAACCACCAAGCTGTCAAAAAGATCTACAAGAAATAGTAAAAAGGTTTGTTTAACAAAAGCGTCATTCATTAATCAAACAAAACGCATGAAGCTGAAATGTCACTCTCTAGGTGCACAAATTTCGACAGAAATGAAAGACCGACTTCTCGAACAATTTTGGATGAGCTCATGCATAATGAAAAAGTAATCAAAGTTACGCTTAAAAGTTTCTTAACAAGATATTCAGCTTGATCGATTGGTCGATTTTTCACCAAAAGTCGATGAAAGCAATCAAAAGATTCTGAAGCCAATAGACCATGGTGCAACATTTGATCGAGAATTTCAAAAGGAATATGGTCAAGAAGTTTCACAAACGTCGAAGTATTTGGCAGACGATGAAATGGTCAAAAAGGCAGCCAAAGACGAGAATCTTCTTGATCGTGGTGCACCTGCAACAGTCTCTCAAATTCCGAACACAGATCCGTGAGTTTGCGTCGTTTTATGATGACACCAGTAGATCTGTAGCCACTACATGGCCTGTCCATATTGAAAGCCATTCAATTCCTAATCAGAGACTTTCTAAGACTATTGAACTCAACATGCAATATGTCTTTGATGCCGGGTTAAAGTTCCTTTAAAATTCAATTTTTTTTGTTCATTTGGAAGCTAATTAATCCACAGAAAACAGTTTGTTTTGAGGCAAAAGAAACAGTTTTGAAACTTTAAATCTTTGTCAAAACTTGGGAATTTTCGCAATCTAACTTTAACTAACGTTAGAAATGGCTTAGCTACCTTATCAATACATTAATTTCAAAAAGCAAAAGACTGGCGCGCAAGCAGACTCGAACCAACAACCCCCTCTTTGGGTCCAGATCGGTCTGCAGCGCCTTGAGCTCGGCCACACGCATAGGGGAAAAAAACTACTGTTTTGTTCTTCCGCTGAAGCGCAAAAGCCTTCATTTTATTGCGCCTTTTGCGCTTCAATAACAAAATATTATTTTGTGTACATTTTGTTGTGAGTTAGGTAGGTAAGGTTTATTGGTTAGCAGAAAAAAGTAAACAACATCGAGTTACAGCGGGCCTAAAATCATAGCCAATCAAAAAACAACAATATTAGTGAATCATATACCGAGAATATACAGAAAACTACGTGAAATTTGCCTTCAGGCATATATCATTGTCGTTCCTCCTTGAGCTCCAATTGAGTCGTGCACATAGGGTTTCATTCCGACTATCGAATTTCAGCGACCTCTTCAACGCAGTGCTTTCAGGGGGACTCCTTTTCCAGCTTTCGCAGTGTCTCCTCCAGCTCTCAGCAAATGTGATGTGTAACCTGGAAGTCCAAATTTCTCGAAGAGCTCTTTGATGTATTTGGCTTCGAGTTGATTGGGCTCTTCGTGTCGTTGCTTGGGAAGACGAATCAATCCTGTTGTTTCTTCGACATAAACCATCGACCTCAGAGTTCCTCTGCTTTGTTGTTTTCCATGAACGAGACGAAAGTGGCCCTTTCTTCAGTTGATCATTCTTGGTTTGTGAGATAAACATTTTCCAGAGCGATGGTTCCTTCTCGATCAAGTTTTCCCATTTGGGAGCTGCCGCTTCAGAGACACGCAGGAATGCGAGATACAGGACTATGGTAGCTGTCGTCCCAAATCCACTTCTTTTGTAGCCGTTGTGCGGAAATCGATGATCTTGTGGATGTGTGGAGCTTGGATCGGCCTTCGATGTGTAGTTGACGCCATGCTAGCGGCTGCTTGGGTGATTGCCGTCAAGAACCTCCCGTGCTGTCCTTTTGGTTCTCCATTGAAGAATTTGAATGTAGCGATGCTGAGGTGAATGTTGGCCGGTCCGACGCTTTCAACTTTGTTCAGCAGAAACGTGGGTCACGTTTCTGTTCTGCGCACTAAGCTGCGTGTACGGTAGAATGTACGCAAAGTCATATTATGTGCATAAAAAGTTAATATCATTAAGTCATCATTGTGGGCTTTTCTGTTTTGAATTGTCTGCCCAAAAAATTTCTCGTTCAAAACCCCTCCATATCAATGGTGTTTCAAAATTTCTCACTACTCCAATCATTTGAGTCTGAGTGTAAGATCATTCAATCAATTTTCGGTATTTTTTTACCTATTTTATCTCCATTGCAAACTAACAAGGAAACTAAATATACTTACGGAGGTCGATTGCCCCCAAAATCGGTGGATAGGTAGAATCGACTCTGGGGAACAACATATTAAAAATTCAGCTGCAAAGCTCCAATATTACGGTTCCAATATAACGATTATAAACTCCTCCAGTATTATAAAAATTTCGCTGTCGGCAAAAAGGTCAAAACGTAGAAAATCGTCAATTCTCTGTTTGACCACATACCCTTCCTCCTTCGAACATGCTTGGATAGTGTGGTGGTCGTTGGGATACAGAGTGGAGACTCTCTGGTTCTCCGTTTCAACTTGTGTTTTCTTTTTGTTTTTTCTCAAAAAAGACTCAAAATGTTGTCTAAACAGTTTTTTAATGTCTCGAGATAATCTTTCGCTTTGGCTTAAAACTTAAAAAATTTCCGAATATTTTTCCATACCAACCATCAGGCGATTTTTTGAAACTTTCGTTTTCTCAAAAATTTGCATTTTTTTGGATTTTCAAACAGACAACAAAACATTGATTCAAACCGCAACTAAATCAACAACGGTGAAAAGCAACAAAATGAAGGAAACAAAACTCCTTGAAGTAATAAGCACATTGAACAAAAGGGACATCAGCACAATCCACTTCACAACAGGGCCCAGAAAAATTTTCTGGACAGCAAATGTCGGATCGAGTTTCAAAATTTGACAAGGAGACGTCAACCGTATCCTCTTCCTCTTCTTCCTAGTCTTGGTCGGCTTGGCTTTCACTGTCTTGACAACCGAGTTTTTCTTCGCCATCATCAATGTCGACGTGTTCCATCTCGGCTTCTCGAAGGAGCCTTGCGAAAGCACCTTTCACTTTCAATCCCTGGCGAGTTGGTGGAGAGTTGTCGGCTGTTGATCCGAATTCTTGAAGGAGAAGATTTAACATTTTTGCAGGTGAAAACAGCTTGCGGGCGGATGATCTGCGGAGAAAATTGACACTTTTTTGAAGAGCACAAGAATTGCAATAAAATCTTCCACAAACATTGTTTCAAATATTCATGCATATATTTAGATTCCATAGACTCTTAGCGACATTTTTCTATGTTTCTCATGAGATTTGGAATTAACCCCGAGAAGTAACACGCGTTCAAGCATGCGACAATACTTATTAGCCACCCTGTATATAGCAAAGAGACTTTTTAGGCCTGTATGCTTTTAGTTATCTACCCATAGTGTAGCCAGGATAAGCTAGGTTCGAAGATTTAACTCTGGCTGTGTATATCCATGTGAATGATTGAGCTTCCAACAAGAAAATCGATTTTTAAAATGAAATATGTACACCAGTAAAGGTCCATTTTAGAATTTTAGAATGGGCGTTGAATACGGGCTTCCATTTCTTAGCCAGTAGTAAGACCAAAAAGAAAATAGATAATGAAGCTGTAAATCAACATCTCAATAACTCTACTAATCACCAAAAAACCTGTTACAATTAAACCAGAATGAATTTCCAAACAAATTTGTCCTTTTAAAAACCACAAACTACAGTCGATGTAAAACCCGGCGCAAAATAGAATACAGTTGTTGAGTCAGTAAGCCAAATGCACAAAATTACTCTCCATAACTTTTGTGACTCTCCATAAAAACTTTAACTCTGTTAAACTCCGTTAAAACCCTTGGTGAACTCCAATGGGACTTTCTTGTGCAATTTGTATTGGGAAAGCGTATTGGGAATGGAGCAATGGGGCAAGTGTATGAATTGATTGGTACAGATTCGTGATTCGATTCGTGAAAGCCAGGATTCTTTTTGTGCAACCGATCTCAAAAGATGGAAAACCGGATTTCGAGGAAGTGATGGCTGACATTGAATTGCCCGAAGAGTATAAACCGGATACAGTAAGTGCTTAGTATTATTCAAGTAAAATCATGATAAGAATATATAAAAAAACTTACTCATTCTTCACAGTCTCATCATAATTGCCCCATTTTTTAGAAGGATCGTTTCTATCGTCCACCGAAACTCAGTGAAGACAAACATGTTTATCATGTGATCGCCAGTGGAAATTTTGCCGATGTTATGTAAGTTTTTAAACTGGTCTAGAAGAAAATCACGACTCAAAGCAAGGAATAACATTTATTTTAGTGCCGCTGTGAATCGAGATGGAAAACCTGTAGCTGCAAAGAGGTTTTTAAAAATTGAATAATGGAAATACTTATAAGTAAACATTTAGATACAAGATTGAACAATTGAAGCAAACAATTGATGGTGATACTCGCCTCAGAAGAGAAATTCTAATTTCTCGTTCCAATCGACATGAGAATATAAGAGCTTTCAGGCATACAAAGTATAAAATTTGACTCTAGATTGTCGAATTTTATGGTTTTTTTGTGGAGAAACCCGAAAATCCAACACACGTCTGTCTTGTCACCGAAAGAATGGATCACACTTTGGAGAAATATTTTGAGTGAGTTTAAGACAATTTTCAGAAAACCTAACAAGAAAATTTACTGCAAGAATGGATTATAAGGAAAATATCTATCGAAAAAAGCCTTTCTGGTATTCTTTGTGGTGATTTATCAGTGATAAGAAGGTGTACTGTAGAGGGGAAAGGAAAGGACCACCCACGTAGAATTGTCCACAATTTAGCAAAGTTCGCTGATGAGTAGATAGAAATTGAATAGGAATGATTATTTGAAGAACCGGAAATTTGATTACTGAAGTTAATAATGTTAACTTTTAGACATCTCCGCCGTAACGACGAAAAATCAGAGCCGGTGAAAAGAGATCTCCGTCATATTGGAACACTTCTCACTCAATTACTTCGAGCTCTTGATTACATTCATCGACGTGGAATCATGCACATGGTAAGACAAGTCTGATTCCTGATCACAAGCTTTGAGATTTCCTTACCAATATTGTTTTCAGGATGTGACTCCCCGAAACATTGGAATGAACCAAAAGGAGTTCGAGATCAAACTTCTCGATTTTAAACTCGCCACGTATTCGAATTTATCTCTTCCATAAATAACTACCAATATTTTAGAGAAACAAATCCAGAACTCGATCACTCGACAAATGTTGATACTCCTTACATCTACCGATCTCTTGAAGTCTTCATGAGAACCAAGTACAATACAGGAGTTGATATTTGGGCTGCAGCTTTAGTTGCTCTTGAAATGTTGGGATTACAATTGTTTATGCCAACTGGAAGCGATGAAGAAATCACAAAAAAGGTTTGTGAAACTGAAAATGAAAAAAACTGCCATATTTCAATTGCTCTGACTTTAACCTTTTAGATTCGAAAACGTGGAATGGAAAACGCCGTCAAGGACAGAATCTTCACCGTTCTTGGAGTCCCAGAGGACCAATATCAGTCAATGTAGGTTGAAACAACAAAAAGTGCTAAAAATTTCCAACTTTGAAAAAGACTTTATCTAAAAAACATTTTGAGCACAAATTTTCAGCTTTGGCCGACCCATTCAAGAGAAACCACACGCCGGCGAGTTTGACAAGATTTGGGAGGAGAAAATTGAGCCACGTTTGGATAGAGATATCGGGCCATTAAGAAGTAAATTTGTTGGCATAAAAACTTGTTACAATTTCAAATTTCAGGAGAGGACTTTAAAGATTTAATTAAAAAGATGCTTCACCCAAATCTACAACAACGTTTGTGGGCCGATGAATGTCTCCTTCATCCGTTTTTGCGTATTTTGAACGTGAGTCTTTTGAGTTTTTGAAAATATGAACAGACGAAATGGCTCCAATCAGTACTCTGAAAATTCGAAATAATGTACTTTTTTAGGTAAAATACCAACGAGCCAGTTTACTCGGTACTGGAAAACAACCAAAGGACGATCAACAGATGAGAGCTCGAATCGCTCAAGATCGAGATGCTCTTTTGAAGGAATTGTCCGATCCACGCAATCAGCGTATTTACACTGATGAGAAATCTTTTCCCTAAACATCCAAAAACGGATTCAATGGTCTCCGGCACATCCGGCCGCGGGTTTTGTGATAAATGTTATTTTAAAGAGGAAAGTCACCAAGGGAAATCCATCTCTGTGACAATGAAATAGAAACATTTTTGAAAAACAAATTAGTAATCATAACAATTTTATATATGAGTGACTTTAAGACATACAAATAAACACATTTTCTACTGCTTTTAAAACAAAAAAATTAGCTAAAGTCGAAAAAAATAGATTTATTGATCACGGATAGGGTAACTCTTAGTGTCGACCTCACATCCAATTTAGTGTCATAAATTCTTTGAGTCAACAATTCTTTTATTAAATATTTTTATAGTCAAGATATTATTCTCAGATCTGATTATTATCTTTTGTCATCTCTTTTCCAATACATTGTTTCTGTCGGTCACCTGGTCATCCTTCTGTGTGAGAGAATCAACCCAAGTGTTCACTTTTACTGTTTCATTAAAAGAAACCTAAAAAAAGATAAAAACAAAATTCTAAACATAGCTAGTCCTTGAAAGTTTTTGCCCTATCCTTGCTCTTTTTCTACAGGCGTGTTTTTTCTACTTTTCTAGAGTCTATAGAAAGTTTCATTCTAACATTGTCCCTTTGTATTTAATGTAACTGACTTATTTTTCAATCTCTTGTGTTAAGTGGTACTTTTTCAATCTTTAGGGTTACTGTAAGGTGCCAAAGTTTTGTTTCGCTACGCTGGAAGCAAAGTAGTCAGCTATAAAAGTTGAGTATATAAAAGTCGTAGTAAGACAAAAGCTTGTGACTGAACAGTATCTTCAAATATGATATATTTTATTTTGCTCGATCACAATGCCCGAGTACACACATCAAACTTGGCTCAAAACACCATAGAACAATTAGGCTGGAAACTTGTGCCTCATCCGCCCTAATCGCCTGATATTGCTCTCTCAGATTAGCACTTGTTCCTGTCTATGCAACACTCTCTTGCAAATCAAAAGTTTAACAATCCTGAAGCAGTCGAAATTTGGGTGCAAGACCACTTTGCGTCGCGGGAGCCCGAATTTTTTGAATCAGCCATCCGAAGTCTGCACAAAAATGTAAGAACATAGTTCATAATAATGACAAATATCTTTTGGAATAAAGTTGTTTTCTTATTGATTTTTGGGTTGTTCGAATGTTGGTTATAATCCACAGTTTCTTTTGCTAGTACCTAATACTATTAGATAGAATACGGTATGTGGAATAGTATACTATCTACCGGGCACGGAAAAGCGTGTCAGATCGATTGTCTTTTTTTTGGAAATTTTGGATGAATTGCAAAAATGTGTCTTTATCTTCTCGACGATTCTCATCTTGATCCCCATTCTTTCGATCTTCTTCCCCTTCCCCTCAATCTTCTTCCCAATTTCTCTTCTAAATCGAGGCCTTTCAGTGAGTGTCGGGCCACGCCTGCATGAACACATGAGGTTGACGATCTCATTTTTATTATTTTCACTCACTCCAGCTTTTTTTTTTCGTTTCTCATCCTTAGTTGAAAGTAGATCCTAGCTTTTTCGTTCATTTTGGAGCTTTCTTGATCATCACGTGTACTTTGTGCTCAAAACTTTAAGACACTTTTAAGGTCAAGAAAAGTTCCACGTAGATCTCCTCATTTTCTCTTTTCACCTGCATGTTTCCCCAGATTTTACTTCAATTTGCGGGCCGACACCCTCTAACAACCTCACCGTACTTATATTTTGCCATATTGCTTTTCTTCTTAACATCACTTATCTAAAAAAGTTTTCTGGGAAAGGATTGGCTTTGAAAAAATGGCGACGTTTGGGTAACTGAACTAGCTTTGATTTTAACATAATAAGCTGAAAGGAAATCACCAAACCACCTTGAGTTTTCGAGCAATTAATTAGGTGGCGGCGACTTCAAACCTCTAATAGTCGGACCGAAACGCATTTTCCCCAGCTAGTTAAGCTAGTTAAATAATTTGAATTTGAGTTAGTTAAATAATCAATAATCAATAAGTAATGCCTGGACGTGTGTTACTTCTCGAGGTTAGTTACAAATCTCATGAGCAACCTGCTAAAATGTTGCTCAGAGTCTAGAGGCTCTAAATATGTGCATGAGTTTTTTGGACAATAACTGTGGAGAATTTTATTGCAATTCTTGTGGTGTTCAAAAAAGGCACTTTGCCCGAGGTCAATTCTAAAAACATTATTTCTATCAAAGAACTATCAGTCAAACGAATCTTTTTTTACAAAGAGCCTTCCGAAAATGGCTGAAAGAATCTGAAAAAATGAAATAATTACTTTTTACATATTTATTTATGTCTTTCAATAAGAAAAATTCGACTCGTTTACAGTTGGTCTGTTCCGGATTGTATCCCAAGAAATGGGTTGTGATCATGAAAGTTTCAATTTCAGACATTTCAATACGGATTCTTAAAGGACTGTTGGAAGAATTAAGAAGGAGAGGAAAGGTTTTGAATCGATAGAAGCCAATAACGGAGAGACGATGAGAAAAGGATTTCAATAAAGAAATGAACAAAAGACGAGAGAGGTAAGAAGCCGTGAGGCTGTGAGTTTGGATTAAACAGTTGGCGATCAACAGAGGAAAGAAGGAAAACACTTTTTCACGGCAACTGTTCTCCCCTCCTGTTCTCCCTTTTATAGAGCCAAGTTATGAATCGTTCAAATTTCTGAACATTAAACATTGGTGTCATCTATAAAATAGAAGCGGCTCCTATTTTAAGCACAGGGTATCTCATCAATTAGTCGGTTTTTGACAAAAATTCGTTTAATGCTAGATAGTTGAAGTTTCGCGACACAGTAAATTTACTGGTGAATTTAGTAATTAAGTAAATGTAATTTAAATTATATGTACATGCTATGTAAGTATTCAAACGATTCATTTCAATCTCAAAAGCCTTTGTTCAATGTTTCACTATTTTGATTACAAAATCTATTCTGGTTGAAAGCACAATAGGGCTACAGCAATATAGGAACTGGGATTCGGAACAGAGGTTATTCTTATTTATGAGCTGAAAATGATCTACCTAGAAGCCGAAGCGTTTGAAATGACATTTGATGAGCATTTGATGACAACAAAGTGGAAAATCATCACCGGGAACTGCTTTTCTAATGGTTTAAACATGAAATTTGCTGAGATTTTAAGCTTAACTATTTTAAAGTTTCCACTGTATATTTTGAGGGAAAGGACAACTTTAGTGATGAAACACGGATCTACATGCCATGTGAACATAAGTCGACTTCAATCCGGCCGTTCTCAGCCATTTTACGACAAAAGATTCTGAAACTTTCATACTTGGTAGTCCTAAGAATTCTACAAAAAAAAGGAAAATTCTGTTCATCATAATGGTAAAATAAGTAGTATGAAATTTGCGTACTTTCCATACTTTCCAACTCAATATCATAGTTGACGAGAAATTCATCTTCTTTTAGAAAAGCTTACTTTCTGCGTTTGAGCAAGGAAATCCAAAACTTCAGAAGCTGGTGGACGAAGAATACGTTGAAAGTTAGTACATCTGATAATGAATTCTAAAAATATGAAAAAAAATCTTGGATTCAAACCTCGAGATGATTTTTTGGATTTCTGATTGACATTCGGGTGATTCGATTTCAGTAACACGTTTCAGGCCGATATCTAATACAAGCATATCTCTGTTGAATGCCCCTTCTGGGCCATATTTCAAAAAGATTGTTCTAAAGAGATTCGTTTTTTTCGGCCGGATACAACCCTTCAATATAGAATGTTTAATTTGCGTTAACGATGCATATGTTGGTGGTTTGTTTCATAAAATCTCTCAAATAAATACCTCCTTTCAATGATCTCCCACACGACCAAGCCAAGGCTGTACACATCGTTTCGATGGGAATCCTCAAGTTTATTTTAAATGATAAAGGTACATAATCAAACTCGAATATCTGGATCCTTGATTTGGTCATAAACATCCTGTATATGATTCTCAATCAACTCGGGTGGACTCATATATCGTTGTGTTCCAATAAGCGTCCCCGTAGCAGTTCCATCTCCCATTACTTTTACCAATCCGAAGTCACCAATCTTCAGCTGGTAGTCATTGGTCACAAAAATGCTATAAATGAATCGAATTTCGACATTTATACCACTAAATATTACTTGTCTGGTTTGATATCTCGATGTACCAATTTGTGTTTCTGATACATGTGATCAATGGCACCAAATAATTGGATTCCCCAGGTGAGAACAGTGTTCATTGAATATGTAATTGTTGGATCAAGGATCACTAAACTCTAAGCCATGACAATACCAGTCCAATTCCAACCTTCCTTGAGTGGTCCCTTCTCACAATATTCCATTACAATTCCCACTGTTTTCCCTTCTTCTTTATATCGATATAATCGGACAACATTTACATGATAGATCTTCTTCAAAGCTTCACATTCATCTTGGAACATCTTCAATTGTGTTTCATTGCCACAAAACATATATTTGATCACAGCTGGGCTAAACAAAGAAACTTATGGTACAATGTAACTTCTACAAAAGACCATATTTTGAAGAAAGCGGTGAATAGATCAAAAATAACCAACGGTTCGTGTCCAATCAATTCATACACTTGCCCCATTGCTCCATTCCCAATATAACGTTGCACAAATTGATTGGATGTTGTCATTTCTCACAGACCAGGCTTTAACCTAAAGAACTAATAATATAAATAATAAAAGAGGAGATGAAATGAAGACTCGAAAAGCAGCTAGAAAGTGAGGGCAAAAACGTTTGCAAGAAAGCGCCTTATCTCTTTCTTCTCTCCACTGCATCCCCAAATTGATTAGTTCTTGGCTTTGGGAAAAGGAGAGGGATATGATAACAATAAACTGAATCCGCCTATTTCCGTCAATACTCTTCAAATATTTCTTAAATTTGACTTTAGTCTCAGGGGGATTTAAGAATTCTGCTAACAATAAGCCTAGCCTAGCCAAATGCACAAAATATAATTTTGAGCATTTCGCTTACTGACTCAATTTATTGTCATCTTGTCTAGAGAAATATCTTGAAAGAAGATTTCAACTTTCAAAACTTTCAAAAAAAGTAAACTCACAACTTTATTATTATTAGAATCAACAAGGCCGCAGCCTTTTCCGTTCTAGAAAAATAAACAAAAATGAAAGCGTTTCAGGCCTGTAAGGAAGAGACTTGCCCCGTTATGACCTATGGATTATGGCGCTCTGCTGAACTTGAACGTCAGCAAACTCCCAACGCTAATTTACTTCTCTAAATAATGACTAGGATGCAGAACACAATTATTACTCCAATCACTGAGGTTATTCGACCCCTTTGTGCACTAGAGGTGGGAAATCGGGTCGAGTTGGGTTAAAAGTTCCCGAAAAATTTGAATTTACGGGTTGGCTCGACCCGCCATTTAAAGAGAATCAACCAGCAAAATTGGCATTTAAAAATAACCCAAAATCCTCAAGCGCTTAGTGTAAGCTATGGTTTGGTCATTGTAATTTGGGTTTGATCTTATCATTTGGTTTGAATTGACCAACTTTAGCTGAACCCGATGTCGAGAATGCGTTAAAATTGCTCAAAGCACTTCAATTCAAAAGGTTCTCTTTTCCATTTCTACCCAATTCATTTCTGGATAGTTGACCACATTTTGTTCTGGAGAATTAGGAAACAACGCTAAAATTAGTTATCGGGACAAAGACTTTCAGAAAAACTAGTTCAGGAGCACATGTGGCATTTGGTATGGCGAGGGAATAAAAGCAAGAGATAAGGCCTTCTTTGTTCAAGACCTCGACTCTTTTCAAACGGAGCCAAATAATATTTTTTTATTAGAATGTTTAAAATGTTTAAAAACGATCTAAAAGAAATATTTCGAGCTACTAAAACTGAAAGGCCTGTTTTATTAAACCATCTCGGGGAATTTGATCATAAGATTGTGCATCCATCCGTTTCTAGTAATAATTTTACACATCAATCCAAAGCATTCCAAATAATAAAACAATGGCATCGATGGCATGTCTTATACACGTTCTAGGTATTAACGTTGACAATATAGCACACTTGAAGTCTATGTTTCGATTGGTTGATTGATAGATTACGGTGTAAATTTGTCGCCGAAAGGACAAAACGTTTCACACACGGCAGCCTTGCCGTCAATTTTGAGTGTTTTTTACTTAGGTTAACTTTTCTTTCGAGTTCTTTTGCCAAATGAACAATAACAATATACACCAACTTGAAAAAGTACGTCAACGAAAATTTAATTATATTGCAGCCTGAATGGGTAGATGCGATCAATTCGAAATTGATCAATAACTTTGTTCATTTCCGATTCTTCCTTAAAGCGCTTCACACAATTATACACTAAATGGGCAAAGCAAAAGATTCTGGACTTGCAGCATTCGTATTTGCGCCAGCTCCATCTGCAACAAAATAGAAAGCAGATGATCAACAACGGAAAGAAGGAAAACACGTTTTCAAGGCAACTGTACTCCTCGCCTGTTCTCCCTTTTATAAAGCCAAGTTATGTATCTTTCAAATTTCTAAACATTAAACATCAGTGTCATCTATATATCTAGGATCGGCTCCTATTTTAAGGACAGGGTATCTCATCGATTAGTTGTTTTTCAACAAATATTGGTTTAATGCTAGATAGTTGAAGTTTCGCGACACAGTAGATTTACTGGAGAATTTAGTAATTTAGTAAATTTAATTTAAATTATAAGTACAAGCAACGTAAGTATACAAACTATTCATTTCAATCTCAAAAGCCTTTGTTCAATTATTCTTTATTTTGATTACAAAATCTTTTTTTTTCTGGTTAAAAGGAAAAAAAGGGCTACAGCAATATAGAAACTGGGATGCGAAACAGAGTTTATTTTTATTTATGAGCTGAAAATGATATACCTAGAAGCCACTTTTGACCCAAACAACCAATTCTCTAATAAAATTACCGTAAATACTGTGATTGAAGGGAATGCCCTTCTATTCTTTCTCTATCCTCTTTCGGATTCTCCGAAAAATCACATAAGGGGATCATAGAAAAATCACATAAGGGGATCATAGAAAAATCTAAAAAAAAATTTTTTAAAAAATCTAAATCATATGAACAATAACAATATACACCAAATTGAAAAGCTACGCCTACGAACAGCTAATAATATTCCAGCATGAATGAGTTGATGCGATGATTCATTCCCACACAACAAAAATCGAAGGGATTTCCTAGGTAAATGGTTGAACAAAGACAGTTTCAGAAAGAGAAATTCAAAATCATACTTGGCAATTTGATATGGCGAGTGAATAAAATCGAGAGATAAGGCCTTCCTTGTTCAAGACCTTGACTCTTTTCAAACGCAGCCAAATAATATTTTTTTTTTGTTGGCTTAGCGAATCCTATTCAGCAATATAACTTGAAATTCAATTTTGGTTCTTTGTACATTTTGATTGTTTAACCACGGCTCTTCGATATATCTTCCTTAATAAGGGCTTTGAGTTCAAAACTTAACTCGAAAACTTAAAAGCAAATAAACTTTACCAAATGATCACTGTAGCTAGATTTAGTGTTTCGCTGAGCTCAGTTCAGAGCTGAATTTTCAAGGATTAACTGTTTAGTCTAGGCACAACGGTTAGCTGGATAGTAAAACTTCTTATGAGAAAATAAATATAAGGACTCAGATCATATGATCAGCCAGATAAGGGCATCTGCATCTAATGAGAAATTCCTAAAGACTTGCTACCTCGTGATTAACCTGCTAAAATGTTGTTTGGAGTCTACGGACTCTAAATATATGGATGAATTTTTCAGAAAATAACAGGAAAATTTTATTGCGATTCTTTGTGCTTTTCAAAAAAGGCATTTTGCCCGAGGTCAATTCTTGGCTCCAAGTGACGATTATGAAAAATTCTAATGTTCTTTGTGGCTTTCAAAGCCGTTTTTAGATCAAGTCAAGTCAAGTTAAGTCAAATTTAAGAAAAACAAAACAAAAACCAAACAAAAAATAAATTTCATGAACTAAAAGGACTCCGTTCATTGTTATCCTATTTCCTAAAACCCAGAATCAATCAATATGGGAATAGAGTGGAGAGAAGAAAGAGATAAGACATCGCTTTCTTTTAGAAGTTTTCCCCCCTCACCTTCTAGCTGCTTTTCGAGCCTTCATTTAATTTTTTTATATCAACTTTCATTCGTTAGTTGTTTAGGTTCAAGCCTTACCTGTGAGGAATGACAACATCTGGTCAATTTGAATTGGGAGATTGTATTGGGCAAGGTGCAATGGGGCATGTGTATGAATTGATTCGACACAAACCGTTGGCTATTTTGGAATTATGAACTGCTATGTTTAATATTTAGTCTTTTGTAGAGGTTGCATTGTACCATAAGCTTCTTTCTTTAGCCCAGCTGTCATCAAATATATGCAGCCAAAAAACGCCGAAGGATTGAAGATCTTGTTGGAGTTCTTCAAAAATGAATCTGAAGCTTTGATGAAGATCGTTCATGAAAATGTTGTCCGATTGTATCGATATAAAGAAGAAAGGGAAAGAGTGGGAATTGTAATGGAATATTGTCAGAAGGGACCACTCAAAGGAGGTTGGGATGGGACTGATATTGTTATATCTTAGGGTTTAGTGATTCACGATCCAACAATGACATATTCAATGAAGTCTGTTCTCACCTGGGGAATCCAATTATTTGATGCCATTGATCACATTTATCAAAAACACAATATGGTACACCGAGATATCAAACCAGACAAGTAATATTCGGTGGTATAAATGTCGAGGTTCAGTTCATTTATAGCATTTTTGTGACCAATGAATACCAGCTGAAGATTGGTGACTTCGGATTGGTAAAAGTAGTGGGGGATGGAACTGTTTCGGGGACGTTTGGAATTGGAACACCACGATATATGAGTCCACCTCAAATGAAAGAGGATGGGGTACAACAGGATGTTGTATCGGTTAGTTTTAACTTCTTTTCTATTTAATGATAAGGTGTATTCATTCCAGAATTCCCATCGAAATGATGTCTACAGTCTGGGGCTTGTTATGTGGGAAATCATCGAAAGGAGGTATGAATATTGAATTAGTAAGCTCCTTTGAGATAATAAAAAGACTTTAAAACAACATTTTCATTATCTTAGAACCGTTTTCACTATGATATGCCTGAAGGGTTTAATCGTGAGGAATTATTGTATGATATTGCACTCAAACTTGTTACTGAAATCGAATCACCTGAATGTCAATCAGAAATTCAAGAAGCCATCTTGGGGTTTGGATTCAAGATTTATATTTTAAGGATCCATCTATCAGATGTACTAATTTTCAACGTATTCGTCGTCCAACAGCTTGTGAAGTTTTGGATTTCCTCCAACAAACACAGAAAGTAAGCTTTTCTAAAAGAAGTAGCATTTCTCTACTATAATATTGAGGGGGAATGTACGTAACCTCGCAAATTTCCTTTCACTTATTTTACCATTATGATGAATAGAATTATAATTTTTTATGTAGAATCCTTAGGACTACCAAATATTAAAGTTTGAAATTCTTTTGTGGCAAAATAGCTGAGAACGACCGGATTGAAGTTGACCTGTGTTCACATGGCATGTAAATCCGTGTTCCATCACTAAGGTTCTTCTTTCTTTCAAAATATACAGGGGATACTTTAGAATAGGTAGCCTTAAAATTTCAGCAAATTTCGCGGTTCAAACAACGAGAAAAATGCTGCAGAAAAGCGAGTTAGTTGGTATAAAAGCATTTCATACTTGAATAAATGAACCAAACATAGCCGGCTGTATGCCAGAGAGTGGGTGTTTAGGCAGTTTACGCTCCCAGAACGCTTATTTTGGAGTTGTTTGTCAGCAGGTGGGCGTGGAAATCATCACCAAGAAGAAAGTTTAAGAATCTTTTCTGGTAAAATAGGTGAGAACGGCCGGATTGAAGTTGACTTATGTTCACAAGCCACGTAAATCCGTCTTCCATCACTAAAGTTCTTCTTTCTTGATGGAACATGGATTTACATGGCATGTGAACATAAGTCAACTTCAGTCAACTTCAGTCTGGCCCTTCTCACTTATCTTACGACAAAAGATTCCCAAACTTTAATACTTAGCACTTCTAAGAATTTTACACAAAACATGAAAATTTTTATTTATTTTATGGTAAAATAAGAGAATAGAAGTGAAAGGAAATTTGAAAGATTTCATACTTCCCTACCGAATAGTTGAGTAAGTTCCCTTTTTGTTGAAATTTTATACTTCTCAAGTATAATAACCTAGGCAAATGAATTCATCTCTTCGCTCCCTTTTATGCCCAGAGAAGATAAAAACCAAAAAGAACTGATGAAACCAATTGGATTTGATGATAGAACAGAATGGGTTATGGTTGAATCAGAGGAAAGAAAATATGAAAAGAGACTCGGGGAGGATAGTTGGGGTTGGAGAATGCGATATAAACTCAAAACACTAAATTCTGCTGAAAGAGAGCAATTCTACAAAGAAGCACCAAGTATTGTTTCAAGATTAAAAGCAGAAACTCAGACATTCAAAGATGCTCGTTATGTGATTGAGAATATCTTGGAGATAGAAGAAGAGAAGGAAAATCTACATGAAAAGGATATTTATGAAATATTTGGATTTTTTGTTTTGGGAGATTTTGAAACACAGCTCTGGAGAGAAAACAATGCTTTTACACGTCTTAAAAGTCACGGAGAGATTTGGATATCAAGTTTTGACAATTGGAGGTGGTGTGCTTATCGGATTGAGAGTTTGAAAGAGATAAAAAGAAAGAAATGCACGACAAATTTTTATTTTCGATGTTTTATCTCTCAATTGACCGGTGAGGGATGGGTTCATATAGAATTGGATGAGTTTGTAAGTGAAGACTTGAAATTTTGGAAACAAATACCAGGACGATGGGTAGACAATCCAAGAACTGAAATCTGGAGCTATGAAACTGAAAATGAAGACAAAAAACATGAATTGCTTCATTTTTCCCATTACAAACAAATCCCTCTTGAACGAATAATTAAGGCATTTGAAAAACAACAAAAAAGAATGGAAACGATCATAAAATTATATTTGAAACATCTGATTCCAATAGAAGATTCAGAGAAGAATAATGTTCCATTTAATATTCAATCAATTCTCGATAAGGCTTCTGAGTCTAAAAGGCCTTATGGGCCCCATCCCTTCCCCCACTACATATTCCAATCAAGAAGTCCTCCTCGTCCAATTTGTCAAAAGAATCATTCAGGGAAATGTCAAATGGATGGGTTTAGAAAAATGAGAAAATCTCTCAGAGTTCTATCAGATTTACCTAAAGAATTGCACATTCCAGTATGTGGTGAAATCACGGAAAATGAGGCTTTGTTTGTGGAAAGTTACATGAATTGTATAAGATCTGATAGGGATCTGACTTTTCATTTCGTGAAAGATCCATTTCTATTTCTTTGCTGTCAAAGTCTCCTAGATATCCCATTTTTGATTCTCTTGGATCATCCAAATAATTATGAAAATGGAGAAAGAATTCCTGGATTGGATTTCAAGTGGAAACTTCATCATATTGAGGTTGAACTATTAAGAGAATACTTTCAAGATTCAAAGTTCAATGAACGGGTCTATGCTCTGATCAGGAATTATGGATCGAACATCCGTTTGATTGATTATCAAGGGAATCCAATAACAAAATGGTTTGACCCTGAGGGAGTGCCGAATTGGGCTTTCTATGACCAATCACTAACCAGCAAGAGCCTAGAATTAGTAGTTGAAGATAAAGAAGTTATTAAAAGAAAGGCAAATGAAAAAAATCCTGATTGCTCTGTATCCTAGCCCTAGTCTTCCTGACTTCCCAATTTTTGAACTCTATCTGTCTTTATGCCTCTTGTTTCTTTTCTTTTTCTTCAAATGAATAAAGTATTTTGCTCAAAAGTTCAGATGAACACACACAAATAAGAGTAAGCTTTTAAACCACCAAATTTTCACCAAAAGGGGAATTTGAGTGAAACGCTTCAAAAGAACCCAAAAGGACGTTCAAAAGAATCAAGGATGATCTTCTAAAACATCAACCGAATTCTTTGTTAGTATTATTAATGTTCTATGTGATAGTTTTTACCGTAAGTTAATCGCTCTTTTCTACGTGTAGAACGAGCATTTTTTCCGAAGGATCGGAAAACTCCCAATCCGGGTCAGTTTATTTGCCCTTAAAATGCTAATTTTTGAACACAGATAACCAGCGGCTCGATTTTGATGTTTTTAGACCATAATTGATAATATGAAAACAAAACTCCAGAGGGTTGTCTTAAAAAAGCCTTTACCGAGATTCGGCCACGAACAAGTTTCACGGGGGACGTCCGGGGGTTTGAGCAATTTTTGTGACTAGCCTGTTCGTGTGCTCCAGGAAATGCCATTTTGAACTTAAAAAGGCATCAAGTTGATGCCTTTTTAAGTTCAAAATGACGTTTTTTGACTTTCTGCCCGCTAAAACGTGGACAATCTACGTTCGCAGAGTTGATAAATTTTTATTTCTTTGATATCAAAATGATCTTTGCACACGTCCACACAAAAGTTATCGGTTTTGAGGGCTCAATCTTTCGACCACGCTGAAAACGAGCCGCCGAAAGTTGGTTGCGGCGAGCGAGTTGATTGTAAAAGTGCGGTTTTTTCGACAAAACGTGAGTTTTAAAAATCTAGTCAGACGGATCTCGATAATTTCTTCACCATTCGATTCAGCACAATTTTCTGCGTCGAATGAATATTCAAACGTGAAATTCTGATAGAGAACACCATTTCACGCGGATGTGCCCCCCTTTAAACCACAAACTACACAAACTACAATACTTCGACGCAAAATCAAATACAGTTGTCGAGTCAGTTAAACAAAGGAAAAAGATTTTCTTCTGTGACTCTCTGTAAAAAGTTTAACTCTGTTAAACTTTTTTCTTGTTCGGGTAAAACATAATATTTCGTGCCGTTGGCTAGGTTAGGTTCTTACAGAATTCTTAGCAGAATTAGCAGAATTCTCGAAGTCCTCTGGGAGTAAAGTTAAATTTTTAGAAAAACAAAAGTATCTAATGAACTAATAAGATTCAGTATATTGTTATCATATCCCTCTTCTTTTCCCAAAACCCAAAATCAGTCAATCTAGGAATAGAGTGAAGAGAAGAAAGAGATAAGACATCGCTTTCTTTTAGAAGTTTTCCCCCCTCACCTTCTAGCCGCTTTTCCAATTCTAATCTCTTCTCCTCTTTTATAATTTATATTATTAGTTCTTTAGGTTGAAGCCTTATCTGTTAGAAATGACAACATCCGATCAATTTGAATTGGGAAATTGTGTTGGGGAAGGAGCATATGGAGAAGTGTATGAATTGATTGGACACAAACCGTTAGTTATTTTTGCTTTATTCACTGCTGTGCTCAATATAAAGTCTTCGGTAGCGATTTCATTGTACCATAAGCTTCTTTGTTTAGCCCAGCCGTAATCAAATATATGCATTGCGGAAATGATGAAAGATTGAAGAACTTCAAAAATGAATGTGAAGCTTTGAAGAAGATCTCCCATGAAAATATTGTCCGATTGTATCGATATACAGAAGATGGGAAAAGAGTGGGAATTGTAATGGAATATTGTCAGAAGGGACCACTCAAGGGAGGTTAGGATTGGACTGATATTGTTATATCTTAGAGTTTAGTGATTCTTGATCCAACAATTACATATTCAATGAACACTGTTCTCACCTGGGGAATCCAATTATTTGATGCCATTGGGCACATGTATCAGAAACATAAATTGGTACATCGAGATATCAAACCAGACAAGTAATATTCCGTGGTATAAATGTCAAAGTTCAATCCATTTATAGCATTTTTGTGACCAATGAATACCAGCTGAAGATTGGTGACTTCGGATTGGTGAAAGTAGTGGAAGATGGAACTGTTACGGGGACGTTTATTGGAACATCACGATATATGAGTCCACCTGACATGAAGGAGGATGGGGTACAACTGGATGTTTATGAACAAATAAAGGAGGCTGATGTATCGGTTAGTTTTACATTCATTTCCATTCAATGATGTATCCATTCCAGAGTTCCCATCGCAATGATGTCTACAGTCTGGGACTTGTTATGTGGGAAATCATGGAAAGAAGGTATTAATATTTGCATATTCATCTCATGTGAGATATAACTAAAACTTCAAAACAAAATTTTATTGTTTTAGAACCATTTTCACAAATTATGAGATGTCTGGAGGGTTTGATCGTGACCGCTTAGTACTTGATATTGCCATCAAGCGTGTTGCTGAAATCGAATCACCTGAATGTCAATTAGAAATTCAAAAAAGCATCTCCAGGTTTGAATTTAAGATTTTCTTTTAATTTTAAGAATTCGCCTATCAGATGTACTAACTTTCAACGTATTCATCGTCCAAGAGCTTCTGAAGTTTTGAGTTTACTACGACAAAATGTAAGCTTTTCTAGACAAAGTTGATTTGCTTGTTTACAATCATATGCGGTTGGAAAGTATGAAATCTCGCCAATTTCCTTTTACTCCTAGTTTCCTATTTTGAAAGAAAGAAGAACTTTGGTCATCAGACACGGATTTACATGGCATTTGAACATAAGTGAACTTCAATCCGGCCGTTCTCAGCTATTTTACCACAAAAGATTTTTGAACTTTAATATTTGTTAGTCCTTAGAGTTCTACAGAATCCATGAAAATGAAATCATTTTAATGGTAAAATAAGAAAATAGGAGTGCAAGCTTTCATACTTCCCAACCGAATAGTTGAGTAAGTTTCCTTTTTGTTGAAATTGTATACTTCTCAAATATAATAACCTAGACAAATGAATTCATCTCTTCACTCTCTTTTATGCCCACAGAAGATAAAAGCCAAAAAGAACTGATGAAACCAATTGGATTTGATGATAGAAAAGAATGGGTTATGGTTGAATCTGAGGAAAGGAAATATGAAAAGAGATTCAAGGATCGACCGGATCGACCGGACTACGGGATATTGAGATGGGTCAATGAGAAAATGCGAGATAAACTCGGAACACTCAATTCTGCTGAAAGAGAGAATTTCTACAAAGAAGCACCAAATATTGTTTCAAGATTAAAACAAGAAACTCAGACATTCAAAGATGCCCGTTATGTGATTGAGATAATATTGATGATAGAAAAACAGAAGGAAAATCTAAAGGAAAAGGATATTTATGAAATATTTGAATTGTTTGTTTTGGGAGATTTTCGAAGACAGCTCCGGGGAGAAAACTATGCTTTTGCAAGTCTTGAAGATAAGGGAGAGTTTTGGATATCAAGTTTTAGAAACTGGCAGTGGTGTG